ACCTTCTCAAGGCTTCAGGGGTGAGGTGGGGCTATAGGATAAGCACAGAAGAGCTAGCCAAGGCAGTTCTATTTTAATCGGACATGTTCATCCTGTAAGATTTTCTTTGGTCAAAGAGGGATTTTGACTTAAAAAAGAAAAAGTTCACAAACACCAGGATTAAATGAATGATGACTGAGGTCCCTTGGGATTCAAAGCTCCCATGGTGGAGATTAGCTTTACAAATTTACCAGTTAAGTAAAATGTGCAGTTTGGTGGTTGTTGAATCTTTGGTTTGGTTTGAAAAGCAGGTGATAGCTATGCCTTTTCCAACGATGAGCTTTTGGTGAGGAATGCAATGCCCTCACTGACAGCCATTCCTCTGGAAAGTTCTGGATGCATATTCAGAAGGTCTACTTTAGATCATATAATAGTTCTATTTTTAATTTTTTTAGGAACCTTCATAATGTTTTTCAGAGTGGCTGTGCCATTTTACATTCCCACCAACAGTGGACAAGGGTTCTAAAATCCTAACAGGTATGAGGAGATACCTCATTTCAGTTTTAATTTGCATTTCCTTGATGATTATTGATGCTGAGCACCTTTTCATATACCTGTTGGTTATTTGTATCTCTTCTTTGGGAAATGTCTATTCAAATCCTTTATCCATTTTTAAAAACTGGTTATTTGGATTTTGATGGGTTTTCTCTCTTTTCTTTCTTTCTCTTCTCTGCTCTTTTTTTTTTTTTTTTTTTGCTATTTTGTTGTGGAAGTTCCTTATATATTTCAGAGACTAACCCCTTATCAGATATACGGTTTTCAAATATTTTCTCCCATTCTTTGGGTTTCCTTCTCAGCCTGTTGATAGTTTTCCTTGCTGTGCAGAAGCTTTTCACTCCTGGGTCTATAACTCCAAAATCTGAAATCAGGATCTCAAAGAGATATTTGCACTCCTAGAGTCATTGCAGCATAATTCACAATAGCCTAGATGTGGAGTCAACCCAAATGTCCATCAACAGATGAGTGAATAAAGAATATGTGACATATGCATAAAATGGAATATTATTTAGGCTTTAAAAAAGAAGGAAATCCTGCCATATGCTACAACATGGATGAACCAGGAAGACACGAAATAAACCAGACACGAACGACGAATACTGCATGATTCCACTGAAATGATATATCTAAAATTGTCAAACTCATAGAAGCCGAGAGTAAAATGGTTGTTCAGGGGCTGGGGGAAGGGGGAAATAGGGAGTTGCCCCTCAATGGGTATAAAATTTCAGGTTATGCAAAATGAATAAGATCTAGAAGTCTGTTGGACAATGTACCCGTAGTTAACAGTACAAATCTGTGTACTTAAAAATGTGTTAACACAGTAGATCTCATGTTAAGCATTTTTACCACACACATACCCCCACATCCAAAGCAAAGGGACACAAGAAAATTTTTGGTGGTGATGTATATATACATTACTTTGATTTTGGTGATGGTATGATGGGTGTATGCACATGTCTGAACTCATCAAATTATATACATTAAATATGCAAAGTATTTTTGTATATCAAATATACTCAACACTACAACATGAATGAACCTGGAGGACATTATGCTAACTGAAATAAGCCAGACACAGAAAGACCACTACTATACTATTCCACTTAAGTAATATATCTAAAATAGTCAAAGCGAGGGGTAGAATGGCATAATAAAACAGCCTTATTTTGCGGTAAAAATCCTAGAAGTACATGGTAGAGACAAAGAACAATGGATTGTACTTCTGTGGCTGAGGGAGGAGATGGTTGAGGGTAAGAAAACAGCAGCAAATGAAGCTCATCAATAGAGGTTATGCAGAGAGAATGGCTCTGGAATGAAAGCATGCAAGAAGAAAAAGCAGTTACTTACCTTGGAGAGAAGAGAGTTATGACGAGACTTTCACTGGTAGGAGCCTACAAAACTGAAAAGAAGAAAATGAGTGAGAAGTAGCAAAAGGAACAGAATAAGGAGGAATAAGGAGGAGATGGTGACAGCTTGACATGATTTGTGAAGACTTTCTACGGAGTGATTGCCAGTCCAAGAGAAATCGTGAAAATAAGAAAGTAAAGATGAACCAAATATAAAAGTTGCAGTGAAAGAGGAAATGAACAGTAGGAATGACAACAACAACAATAACACCACCAGACAGATAATGAGAAGAAAAATGGAACATGGAGGATTCATTCAAGGAAGAGGTTGCTTTAAGCCACAAGTCCAGGAAAAGGATGAGTGCTTGATAAAAACTCCCAACCCTTAAGATTAGCTTCTGAGTCAAACTATCACTGAAGGTTCTTATTACTGCCTCATAAATGGCCATATTCATTTCACAGCTCTCGAAGGGCTCAGAACACATTCTTAAAGCATCTTAGAGCTATAATCTGAGGGTTAACCATGACCAGCTTTTATTCACAAAGCTTCTATACTTACCATCTGCACAGCACTGCTTTCAACTCTGCAAAAGTCAAAAGAGAAAAAAAGCTCTGTGATTAAGAAGAAAAAGTCATCTTAAACAGTTTTTACTGAGCTAAGTGCCCACAACTCCCTCTCCCTCTTAGATTTTTATCACACGTTTAAAAGTCAGCAAGGCAAAGGCAAATGAAGATTTCTACAGAGAAAGGGGGAATAAAACTACTTCAAAGCAGCTTGCATTAGGATCTACAGAACCTCATTTTGCAAATTTAAAATATTAAGTGACTTAAATATTATGACAAGTTGTTTCTGGGAAAAGAAAACCAACTCTATTTTTTAATCCATATTCACTGTAAGTTCTCTGTGCCCACCAAGGTAGACATAGTGAGAATTCATTGGTTGTACGAAGCTAATTCAGTGCTCCCTTGAGATTTGAATCTTTCCACAGACTTCTGCTGATGCTGTCATGAAATCTGCCACTTTCTCTCTTTTAAAATAGTGACACTAGTCCCCTTTATAGATAATAATGATGATTCTTATATTTATTTGCCTTAGCCAAAGGAGCAAAATGGCTTTATGATTGAGAAGAAAGCATAACAGTAAAGGGTATGCATTGAGCTACCCAATAATGGCTTTAGATGTTTAATGCAAAATGATAGGCTTGTGCCAAGCCCATGACGGAGTGCTTATCGGGCTCTTTCCTTCTTGTGGTGGGGGAGACAGGATCTATCGCTGTTTCTTTCTGGAATGTGACTGATTTAGATGATTTACAAACTTTGCTCCACAGAAATGCCTCTCTCTCTGTGGGGGAGGCTCTTCCTCTCTCCCCCATAATAGAAGGGACAAAACAAAAACAACGAAGCAGCGGGGTGCAGTGGCTCACGCCTGTAATCCCAGCACTTTGGGAGGCCATGGCGGGTGGATCACGAGGTCAGGAGTTTGAGACCAGCCTGGGCAACACGGTGAAACCCCATCACTACTAAAAACACAAAAATTAGCCGGGTGTGGTGTTGGGCACCTGTAATCCCAGCCACTCGAGAGGCTGAGGCAGGAGAATTGCTTGAACCCAGGAGGCAGAGGTTGCAGTGAGCCGAGACTGCACGACTGTACTCCAGCCTGGGTGACAGAGACAGACTCTGTCTCAAAGAAAACAAAACAAAACAAAATAACAACAAAACAGCCTGGTAGGGAGCATTGCTGAAAGGAGGGAGAGAAGAATGGGATTCCTACAGAGGTAGAAGTCAAAAAAGCCTTTGGGTTTCTGCAACTCCTCTCCCTCAGCACGAGTACACAGAACTCCAGCACCCATCCCAATGCCCCTCTCACCGACCCCAGCCTGGCCCCTCCCCAGCACAGGCCTTCTCATCTTTGCTTTGCTTTGCTTTCCCGGACACTGCCCAAGCCCCATCTCCTCAGCACAGCATTTCCTGACCTTCCAAAGCACCATTCTCTCTTCCTCCCCTGAATTCCTTCTGCATCAAGTCTGATTTGAGTGCTTGGCTCTAAGTCTCGTTGCCTTTTCTTCAACTCTAGTTCGGACACATGTTTTGCTGTCCCACTGAGATAGCAAGCTAGAAAGACAAGGAGGCATCTCATACTTTTGTTTTCTTCATGGCCTTAGCATAACCCTCACTCAGGGATTCCTTGCTGAGTTGAATTGATTCAAACTGAACCATGAAGAGTAAAAGTACAGAAAATCAAACCCCTTCTGAGACAAAGATCTGACCTCTTCCGCTTTCCTGAGCATACAAAGAGGGTGGGAGGCTTTCCCACCAAAGTCCCCTCTGCTGAGATTTGGGGTCAAACTGTAGCACGTGAGAAAGTGAGAAGTGGTTGAGAGAATGAGTAGGTCCATACTGTTTCACGCCTACCAAATAAGGACTTTTTTTTTTTTTTTTGACAGAATCTCACTTACTCTGCCACCCAGACTGGAGTGCAGTGGCACAATCTTGGCTTACTGCAACCCCTGTCTCCCAGGTTCAAGTGATTCTCCTGCCTCAGCCTCCCGAGTAGCTGGGATTACAGCCGCCCACCACCACACCTGGCTAATTTTTGTATTTTTAGTAGAGACGGGGTTTTGCCATGTTGCCCAGGCTGGTCCCAACCTCAAGTGATCCACCCGCCTTGGCCTCCCAAAGTGCTGGGATTACAGGTGTGAACCACCGCGCCTGGCCAGGACTTTCTTCTTTGTTTGTTACCTTTTGATTTTTAAAACGGCCTGTTAGCCAGGCATGTCAGCAAGGGCCTGTGGGCCCAGCTATGCGGGAAGTGGAAAGATTCCATGAGCCCAAGGCTTGGAGTTCAGCCTGGGCTCCACACTAAGGTCCCATCTCTTTAAAACATATTGCCTATAATTTTGGAAGAAAACACAAAAACGTGAGGTTTATTAAAGCCAATTTCTGAGCCTTAGATATCGTGTTCTTGTCTATTTATTAATTATGAATTTACTAAAAATATATTGTTACTGACATGGCAAAAGTTCCCTTGTCCCCCTCGTAGGGCACGTGACGAGGGTGTGGCTCACTTCTTCAGTGCCCTGCTGCTCAAACCTCTAAGGGGAGCATACAGACCGGCAGGGAGCCCCAGGGCTGTGTCTAGGGGTGAATGTTTACAGCTGAAGCCACAGCGGGCATGCATTACAGGGTGCTCTTTTAGTTTAGCCATCAGTAGGTGGCTTGTGATAGCTCATTTAGACGCCCCCTGCCTTATCATAAGGAGAGATGGCTTTCTGTATCCCGGGGTTCTTGACTTGGTGCACAGGAAGAATCAGATCACACGTGGGCTTGGAGAATGAGCGCAAGGCTTCATTGAGTGGAAGTAGCTCTCAGCAGATGGGGGAGCCAGAAGGGAGATGGTTTTCCCCTGGAGTCGGGATGCTTGGCCGCCAGGGCTCTCCTCCAACTGCCCCGGCCAAACTCCAGGCCGTTCTGCCAGTGAGTGGCCTGCTGGTGTGCCAGTGCCTGTCAGAGCTCCTCTAGATGTCCAGCCGCCCACGTGTGCCTCCGCTGAAATGCTCCTCTCCACGTCCAGCCGCCTGTGTGTTTGCCTGCTAGGGTCTGGGGGATTTTACAGGCAAAGGATGGGGGCGTGGCAGGCCAGGGTGGTCTTGGGAAATGCAACATTGGGGCAGGAAAACAAAAATGTCTGTCCTCACCTAGGTCCATAGGCACAGGCCTGGGGGTGGAGCCCTAGCTATGAACCCTGCCCTTCCCAGCTTCCCTATCATTTAAAGGGACCATGCCCTTCCCTTCCCAGCACTTCCCTTCCCCATTCCGCATCATTACTGAGTGGCTGCATTGTGCATTATGATAGCTGCTGGGTGTCCACTGATGAACAAAAGACACCTGGTTGTTATCTTCATGGAGCCTGTATTTTAAATAAGTTAACACAGGTATATAACAAAATAGAAGTGGTCAGATTGTATAATGTATGAGTTGTATGTCAATATGACCATTACAAAAATAAATAGAGACTACAGAGAGCAGCCCTTTTAAGTAGAGTGGTCAGGGACACCTATTTTCACTCTGTGTTCTAACTAAGTGTGCATGCACAACAATTATCACCTGCATATCCTCACATGATACCCTGCACGCATTAGGTGCTTTTTAATATGTCTGCGGTCCAGATGAAGAATGCTGAGGCAGGGCTGGACTTTCTTACTTGAAGATTCTGGAGAACACAAAGAGACACGAAGCATTTAGCTGCCACCTCCCATCACAGATGTTCCAGTGGCATGTTAACTTGTAACTGGATTGGCTTCTCCAGAGCCCATCCCTTTCCCCCTCTTTTTGGGAGTAACTGTAATCTCCAAGTGCTTTATTTTCCACTTTGGTGAGTCACCCAGCCAGAGGATGGAGAATGTAAGTCATTACTTTCTTCATCTTTGTGATAATTTGATACCGTCCTTTTGAATGTTTCTTCTGTATTTAAATCTTGGCAAGGGCCTGCTACATTGTTTGCGATTCTTCTATTCTCATTGCCAGTTTTTTTCTGGAAAAATCAAAAAGAATAAGATGCAGGACACATCAAGCCACAGCTACTTGGCTCCCTGGTAGGATAGGGTTTTTCCCATTCTCCTGCCGCCCTCATTGGCTCCTGGCTCTCGGTCTTTGCTTCTGAGGATGCTCCCTGGAGACTCTCCCCGGGTACATAGTCTCTTGCTGAGGCTGATTGAGAACATGCTAATCCCTTTCCTCTTTCACACCCTCAAAATTAAACATTCCACAAAAACTCTTCTTCAAGGTGAGACTGACTGGCTTAATCTCTGACAGGTTTTCTACTTGTGTTGACGGGAGCGACAGAGAAAAATTAGGTGTTCTCCAACAGGCTCTCTGAGAACACAAAGAAAGGAAGCCCCTTAATCTAAACCAGTCCAGAATTCCAATGGTCCTGCACGCCACACATTGTTACAGCTAGCTCCTCTAATAACAAGGGGGAGTTGTTGAACTTCCAAAAGATTAAGTTACCATTCGCTGCCCAGTGCAGCAGTTAGAGGAGTTTTCCCAACTGATCCAAGCCAATCCTTATGAAAAACGAGAGTTATTTACCAACATTCGACAGTAACTACATTAAAATATAAGCCTTGGCCCTTGAGTCAGAGTTAAATTGTTTCCTTGACATTCGGGTTTGAATGTTTTCAATATATTAAACAAGACTCTACAGTAAAATATTGACACTGTATTTGTCAGCTTCATGTCAGTCCCTGAAATATTTCCTCAAATAAACAGTTTGTCACAGATTTATTTGTAGGTGGCACTAGATCTTTATTCTCTAGTGCATCCATCGAACATCAGTGAACATTTCCCAGATATAAGAAACTAATATGTTGTGAAAACAGAGAACTAAATGGGAATTTTAGACTATCCCTAAATCAAATGCCAAACATGTAATTGAATAGCATATTTGATTCAATTACTGCAAAAAGGGTTGCATCAACAATTCAGCAATTCAGTCATGGGTTTGGTAATGAACTTGAAAATGTTCAGTTTTTTAATACCTCCCAGGCATAACCAAAAGATATGTCTTTTCAGTATAGATTTATGAAGACCCAGCAGCTATGATATTAATATAAGCACAGTAGGGAGCCATATCAGGGACTTAAGTACCCAAGTGGATTTTCTTTTTCCTATCAGTTTTGGAATTCCACATAATAATCAGGTTAGGTGATTTGATCAGTTACGTAAGTTTGTCTCCCTGACTGTTCTTTCCAGTCCTAACCCCAGGGACGTGGTACTGCTGTAGGTAGTGACTTGACTGAAGGTTACCTGTTTTGTTGCCTAAAGGTATGCCTTGTATTTTCTGAAAACCAAGTATGTAGCAGTGATAATCGAGCCAGTACAGTCTTGGTTATTGCTTTCAGTCTCAGGTCAACAGAATCTTTATCCTTGCCTCACCTACAATTCAGAGCAAGCAAATAAAAGACTGAACTGCAGGTGCCAAAGCACAAATGGAGAACATACCAATGGCAGTCGTTGCTCTCTGGAATTTAGGTCCTATTTTCTCTAAATACAACTTGGGTCATATTTTTTCTCTGTTAAAATGTTGGATTGTGTGAGTCATGTGGTGTGGCTCACACTTGTAATCCCAGCATTTTGGGAGGCTGAGGCGGGTGGATCACGAGGTCAGCCTGACCAACATGGTGAAACCCCGTCTCTACTAAAAATACAAAAACATTTGCCAGGTGTGGTGGCACATGTCTTTAATTCCAGCTACTCAGGAGGCTGAGGCAGGAGAATCGCTTGAATCCAGGAGGTGGAGTTTGCAGTGAGCCGAGATCGTGCCACTGCACTCCAGCCTGGGTGACAGAGCGAGACTCCATCTCAAAAAAAAAAAAAAGTGTGTGAAGTGTGTGTATATATATGTATGTATGTGTATATATGTGTGTGTGTGTGTGTGTGTGTGTGTATAGGATTGTGTCTTGGGTTGAATTGCATTCCCTCAAAAGCTATGTTGAAGACTAAATCCCTGGTACCTGTGAATGTGACCTCATTTGGAAATAGGGACTCTGCAGATGTAATCTCATTAAGGTGAGGACATACTGGATTGGGATGGGCCTTAATCTAATGAGTAGTGTGCTTACAAGGAAAGGAAAATGCAGACACACAGACATAAAAGAAAGAAGCCCACGTGAAGGCAGAAGCAGACACTGGAGTGATCATCTACAAGCCAAGGAATACCAAGGATTGTCTAAAACCATGAGAAGGAAAAAGAGGCAAGGAAGGATCCTGGAGCCTTCAGAGAGAACGTGGCCCTGCCCATACCTTGAGTGTAGGCTTCTAGCCACCAGAACTGTGAGAGTATACATTTCTGTTGTTATAAGTTACCCAGCTTATGGTACTTTGTTCTGGCAGCCCTAGGAAACTAATACACTTTTTCATTTTTTCTTCCATTTCAACTACTTACTGTCTAAATTTCCCATTTTTTACTTCTACAGCATCTGTCCATCAAGATTTGAAGGTTACATGTTTATTTAAAAATGTATTTTGGGGCCGGGCACAGTGGCTCACACCTGTAATCCCAGCACTTTGGGAGGCCAAGGTGGACAGATTACTTGTGGTCGGGAGTTCGAGACCAGCCTGACCAACAGGGAGAAACCCCGTCGCTACTAAAAATAAAAAATTAGCTGGGCGTGGTAATCCCAGCTACTCGGGAGACTGAGGCAGGAGAATCACTTGAACCAGGGAGGCAGAGGTTGTGGTGAGCCGAGATGGCGCCATTGCACTCCAGCCTGGGCAACAAGAGCGAAACTCCATCTCAAAGAAAAAAACAAAATGTATTTTGGGAAATGGCAGGATTAGTTGATGACTTTGCAGTGGAATGTTTGCACACCAAGGGAAAAGAAAAGAAACGCTTATTTATGTGTTGTAATGCACTGCTCTTGCCAAAATAAAATGAATCTCCATGCATGATATGACAGTTAAACAGGGAGTAAGTCTGCAGCAGGAAACCCGCAGCGAACGAGCTCTGTATCAATGTCACTCCCATAGGTAAGTGGACAGAGTTCTAATGTGCAGAAGAAGTCTCTGGGCTCCACCAGTGGGCTTCTCCATGACCTGCTTCTAGTGGGCTGCTCTGCACATAGTTAAGTGTCGATTGGTTGACAAACAGAGAGCATTGGATTTGAATCCTCTTCATAAAATGATCCTATCTCTTAGGGTGACCGAGATAATTAAACAGTATAACAGTGCCTGCTATATACTGGGAGCTCGATAAAGAGAAACTACTATTATTATTAACTGCCAAGATACCTAACATTGTCTTATCGTAAATCACTTTGAATCCCTTGTGAAAGGAAGCAAACTAGAAAAACAGTATATTTCAGGAGGTGAAATTTACTAGCTATTTTTCAAGAACACTTGAAAAATCTCTTGATACCCAAAATCCTCCCTCACATTCCTGTTCCCTGGGCTACAAATCAGCCCCTGCCCCAACAAATGATTACAGCTGATGTTCAGCCTGACTTACACTGATTACAATATTAGCAACTGACCTGTTGACACTGATCTAGACTGTGATTCTTGTTTCTGCTCAACAAAAATAAGAGACTAATATGTTGTGAAAACATCAGAAAATCTGTTATTGCAGGGTCTAAGGCCAAACTAATATTACATTTTAGCTATGCACATTCTCTTTGATCAATAGACTAACCCCTGAATTAAGTGATACCTATAGGTGCTAAATTTTAAGTAAGATAATAATGTAATGTTGTGAAACAGCTGTTTGAATTATGGCACAAATGCTGTTTGAGTATCACTGGTTTTAGAGGCAACATCTGCAAGAATGGGTCATGTGTCCATGTGTGACATTGCCTGGCGTATGCCTGTTCGCCTTTGCCAAAATAGCACTCAGCACTGTAGATAAAGACCCCTCACGTCCTCTCTGGAGAGTGTACAGCATCTGTGGTTGCTATTGCAACCACCTGCCACGATTTCTGGGCCTCCCCTGTCCAGGCGAGTTAGACCCAACCCTTCTCCAAAGCCCACAGACCACGAGAGGGTGCCCATCGCCTCCTCTCTGCCATCCGTGTTTGACACCCTGCCTGGAGCAGTGAGACCCCTTTCCCTCCCCTGAGTTAGGGGTCTTCTCCTTCCTCGCTGCTGGGACTGAGAATGACCAAACCTGTCAAGGATGCTTCCTTTTGTTTTACTTATTTTTATTTTGGGAACATCTGACAAACATTGAAAATGGACTGAAGATAATAGAATTGCAACAAAATTAAATAATTATGATTTGAGGAAATGAATCTGCACTCTGGCTATAATTGCTAAGCAGACAGAGACAAGAATAGCTAGTAGGGTCATGTAGAACACAAGTATGGAATAATATTGAGTCTCCCAAGTGTTTGGTGATACCAAGTTTAACCAAGTTTAATCTTATGAATGTTTTTTGTCACTTTTTTACTTTGAAATGATGTCAAACATACAGAGAGGTTACGAAAATGGTACAAGGTCTACCCAATATACCCTTTACTACGGGAGTTATCAGTTGTTTATTTTATCCCATTTTGTCCTATTTCCACTGTCATTTTGTCTCTATCTCTCCATATATATACATATAATATATATATGTATCTCTCCATATATAAACATACATAGTGATGTGCGTGTATACATAACTCTATGTGTGTGTATACATAGCTCTATGTATGTTTATATATATGTGCATGTATACATATCTATGTATGTTTATATATGTCTATAGACATATGTATGTGAATATATTAATATTATTTTTTATTTGAGAGTAACTTGAGTTATCATGTGCCTTTACCCCTTAATACTTTAGTGTGTATGTAGAAGCCAAGGACATTTCCTTATATAACTGCAACATAATTTTAAAAATCAGCATATTTAATTTTGTTGCAAATCTATTATCAAATCCACAGTCCATTTTCAATGTTTGTCAAAAGTCTCCAAAACATACTGTAGAGCCAATTGTTTTCCAGTCCAGGATTTCATCCAGGAAGACACATTGCATTTGGTGGTCATGCC